ATACTGGTTTCCCACCCGCGATTGTCCAACAAAGTTCTCGGTCCTGCCGATACTGGTTTCCCACCCGCGATTGTCCAACAAAGTTCTCGGTCCTGTCATTATTGGCTCCCCTCCCTCAGAGCCCCATCTCACATCAGTTCCCCAGTTCAGCATGACTGCTGCTGCCTTCCTGAAGCACGTCCTACATTCTCCTGCCTCCTCTTCTCTGGGGAGGATTCCATCTCTGCAGCTAGAGCTGTTCAATTTATTGACAAGACTAGCCAATCGTCTTACAGATTGTTGAGACTGGCTAATCTCTTGTAGAATGGTAGCCAATCCCTTTGTGGATAAACTGACATGCCCTATTTGCATAGCCCCACCCATCCACATAGTCAGTCACCTGCACTAGAAAAGCCATACTGAAAGATGCACTCTGCAACAGCTCCGGGGCTACCGGTGTGCATGACGCATGTGCCCCAAGTGGGGGACCTGAGCCTCCAAGTGGGCTGAGCGGGGTTGGGGAGGGGGGTGTTGAAAGGTCTAGATCTGCAGGATGAAGAAAGGGTGCATAGATAAAGAGAGGAGTGTTTGTGTGAAGACGCTGATGGTGACATTGTGGTGACTTGAGAAGGGTAGACAGTCCTCCCAGCCCGCCACCACCTCCTTGTTTCTGGGCAGATGAGGACTAGATAGAGCCAGCTCCACCTCTGGTCTCAGGTGCACCTGGGCTGCGCCACACGGCCCCCATCTCATTTCCACATCTCTGGGGACACTGTTCCTCTTGTGAGCCTGGAAGAGGGACACTATGCCAGCCTGGACCTGGGAGAGGGACACTATGTCCACCTGGATCTGGGAGAGAGGGACACATTGCCCTCCTGGACCTGGGAGAGGAGGGATCCTGGCCACTCTGCACCCAAGCGTGGATTCCTCCTTGACACCTCTCCCTCCGATCACTGCGGCTTATTGTCCGCAGCAGAAGGAAATGAACAGTTTTCGAGCTTGCCGTCTGTGTGTTCAGTTTGCTTATTCACATCCTATTTACAAGCAGCTGGTGCTTACAGAGTAAGGTTCATTTATTTTAATGAGTGAACATTCTGGAATTCAGGCTTTCAGAACAAGGAGGGGTCAGCACACGCTTTGGGTTGAGCCCTGGCTGGCTCCCTGGCCGGGGCCCCCTGCCTGTGGCCTCAGCGCGGTGACATGTCCTGTTTCTTCTCTTCCAGTCTGAACCTGAGGGCTTCTCCCATTTCCACCTGTACGTATGTGCCGCTTTCCTCGTGAGGTGGAGGAAGGAGATCCTCGAAGAGAGAGATTTCCAGGTAAGTGGATGCCTTTCAGAGGCGCCGGCTTTGGTTTTCCACCGGGAGTGGATCGTCGAATTTTGTCACCAGCTTGTTTGTGGAGGTGCTGGGGGAGGTCAGTTGTGCTCCCCCGATGGCCTCCTGCATGCAGCCTGATCAGCTGAGGGGACGTCCCTGCGTGGTCATGTGGGGTACAGACTCCACCTGTCACACGGCTGGTTAACCCTGAGAACCTTCCATATGCCAGAGTGTGATCATAACCATGTGTCCCTGGGGCCAGGCTGGTAGTGACCTCAACTTCTAGAAACTTCTGAAGGTTTCCAGAAGCTTCCAAGTATCAGTGTGCTGTGGTCTGTGAGTGAGGGTGTGGGTGTGTTTCCAGAAGGCATTGGTCCACCCCTCCGAGCCATAGGCTGAGGGCAGCCGCACCGCATGCCTGGCCTCCTTGGACAGATGTGCCTCTCAGCTCACCTCAACATGGGGCTCCCTGTAGACTCAGCCCTGCTCGGCCCCAGAGTCACTCTGTGGAGGAGTCACCTCCACAGATGCCCACCATTAACCCAGGTGCTGGCCCACGTCCTGCCACCCAGGTCCCCGGCACCCTGTACCTGGTGGACAGTCTGTGGTCGGCGAGGAGGCTGCTGCCCCAGTGGTGGCTTGTCACTCCCTGAGCCCTCACCTTGCTGATGAAGATGGGCAGGGCCCCCTGTACTGACCTGTTCCTCAGTTGTCACTGTCCCTGACAGCTCACCTGGTCTGGACACACCTGTGTCTGTGCTTGAAGGGCCTTGATGGGCAGGTCACTTGGGGCTTGTCCTCTTGGCTGCTGGAAGAGGCCGTCCCCGTACCTGGGACCTGATGCTGGCTGATGGACCCTGGTGACCTGTGTACCTCGGTCTCCCTTTCGGGCAGAAAGGGCGCGGCTCTCTTTGTCCATCCTTCTGCCCGTCCATTCATCTGTTCACCCTGTGCTGTGTACTGCCCTCGCTCCAGTGTTGTGCTGTCCGACAGGGAGTTCAGCCGACATGCCCCGAGGAGCTGGCTGTCCAGTGGGAAGTAAAGGGGAGGACAGGTGTCTCAGTGTAGAAGGAGGATGTGCGCTGTGGGAAGGGGGCCCGGGGCAGCTGACGCCACACTGCTCGTGTACTGCCCCTCCCCGCCACAGCCCCGGGCCTCTTCCTGGACGGTGCGCAGAGCTGACTTGTCCCGAGGCCCTCATGCTGGCCACCTAGAGGGCAGGCAGGACAGTGAGGGGAGTCAGAGCCAGGGATGGGGGATGGTAACGGTGAGCTCATGTACCCATGGGACTAGGAGGGCAGGGGAGCACAGAGCGGGGAGCAGAGCTGCAGTGCCTCACTCAGAATGCACACGCGTGCAATGTGTGCACGCAGACTCGTGTGACCACACAAAGTCACAGCCACTGTGCACACACCTGGAGATGTGTACACGCAGACTCGTGTGACCACACAAAGTCACAGCCACTGTGCACGCACACGGAGATGTGTACATGCAGACTCATGTGACTGCACAAAATTACAATCCGTGTGTGCATACACACAGACGTGTGTGTACACTCGTTTGTTCAAATGCACACACGTGTGTAAGTGTAAGTGTGCATACAGACTTGTGTGAACATGTGTGCTCGTATAGCCATGTACACACTTGTAGAGGTGCACACGCAGACATGTGAACACTTACACTCACCGTACACATACTTGCAGATGTGTGCATGGAGAGTCGTGTGAACACACACGCCATTCACCCTTGTGCAGATGTGTGCATGCAGACTCACGTGAACACACACAGTCACCGTGCACGCATGTACAGATGTGTGCATGTGCACGTGCCAGCCCTCAGCCCTCATGCTCACTGTGCAGGCACGCGCAGGGGTGAACGTGTGCACTGAGTTTCAGAAAGCACCTGCAGATATGCACGTGTATGTATGTGTGAACACGTGTGCTCACACCCCCTACAGATCTGTGCAAGTAGACGTGTGTGAAACACACACACAGCGCCCGCAGATTGCATATGCAGTTTGAACTCGCACACACAAGTTACCCAGGAACGTACACAGCAAATGCACATGTCCCTGTGCTCACAGATGTACTCACGTCCACACACGTGCACTGCAGCTCGCTCTGACTCAGGGCGGAGTCCAGAACTGTCTGCTCTTTGCCGTCTGAGGAGCAGGCAGTCCTTGACAAGTAGGACGTTCCTTGCTGCGTGCCACGCGGGGAGCGGCTGTGTGACGGGGCGTTGTCAGTGCTGACTCCCAGTGGGATCCTGGGTGGCAGGCTGGGCTGGTCCGCAGGGTTTCTGGGCTGTTGACTTTTCAGCAGCAGACGGCAGGTCTTTCTCGCGCGGAGCTGACTAAGGGGATTCACACCTGCACCCTTTCACTCAGCAGCCGAGAGCTCAGGGACGACACCTGCCTCTGTGCAGCCTGCTCCGGCTGACACCTTCACGCCCATCTCCCTTTGAGCGGTGGGGCCTGGCGAGCTTCCTGAAAGGGTGTCACAGGAAGTGGCTTGTTAGTGTTCCAGAGAGAGGCCACGTGGCACAGGCCTCCATGGAAGCTCTGTGAGGGACCATGTCCCCTCAGTGTCTCCTATCACTGTCCCCTCTGTTCTCTGATTTGTCCCATCTTTGCCCTCTGTCCCCATCTCCTCTCCCTGTCCCCTCTGTTCCCTGCCCTCCCCCGTCTTTGTCCCCTGCCCTTGTGCTGTTCCCCCCCCCCCATGCCTGCCCCCGCCCTCTCCTGCCCCCTGCAGTGGCTTCTCTCCAGGACAGGTGACCTGGCTCGTGGCCATTTCCCTTTAAGAACCAAACTCCTGAGGCAGTTCTTAGAGACCGAGTCTGCACGAGGCTGCAGAAAATCGATTTTGTCCCTGGATCTGCTCAGTCGCATCTGTGCTTTTATTAAATCATCCTTCTCGAGATGGCTTTCACGTTCCTGGGGACGAGCTGCTGGAGCCTCAGCCCTGCTGGGCCTGGTGGCCACGGGCTGTGAGCGGCCAGCAGCAGTCACAGCTGATGGCTCATCCGCACACGTCCAGGACGTTCAGGCTGTGTTGGTCCCCGAGGTCATCTCGCAACGTGCAGCCTCCCTCCTGGGTCTCTGAGCTGAGACATGGGGTGTTGAAACCCCCATCTACAGTGCATGAAGGATCCCTGGTGGGTTAAGTTTAGAGATTGTAGGTGACAGGTGGATGGTTCAAATCCCTGCTGCTCTGAGGGAGAACGGTGAGGCGGCCGGCTTCCTTAAAGAGGGCAGACGGGGAGGTCACGGGCAGATCCGCCCTGTCCTGCCTGGTCCTGTGAGTCGAAATGGACTTGAGGACAGGTGGTTTGCACTGGTGTGTTTCACACTTTGCACCTGTGCTCTGTGGTCTCCTCATAAATGTGCATGCA